TTGTGATGTTTGGGAAGTAGCAGAGATATCACTACTGTTGATAAAACCATAGTTCTTAAATTATGCATTATCATCATGACAGCACTAATGAAAACAGTACATATAAAATCAGGAATGTAAGGAACTCAAAATCACACGAAGTTTCAATATTTCCAAATGAAAGAAAACCAAATAAAAAACTTATCGGGATGTTTTCATCAATCATTTGAGTGCACTATAACTTGCTGTCAATACAGTGAAATATTGACTATAATCACTGCCTGTGGTATCAAGGTGACTAACTGAATCCATCAACTGTTCCTAGTATATGCCCAGTGCCAGAGATACAGTTAAATATTGACTATAATCACCTCCTGTGGTATCAAGGTTACTAACTGTATCCATCAACTGTTCCTAGTATAGGACCAGTGCCAGAGATACAGTGACATATTGACTATAATCACTGCCTGCGGTATCAAGGTGACTAACTTGAACCATCAACTGTTCCTAGTATAGGACCAGTGCCAGAGATACAGTTAAATATTGACTATAATCACCTCCTGTGGTATCAAGGTTACTAACTAGAACCATCATCTGTTCCTAGTATATGACCAGAGCCAGAGATACAGTGAAATATTGGCTATAATCACTGCCTGTGGAATAAAGGTGACTAACTGGAACCATCAACTGTTCCTGGTATATGACCAGTGCCAGAGATCCAGTGAAATATTGACTATAATCACTGCCTGTGATATCAAGGTGACTAACTGGAACCATCAACTGTGCCTAGTATATGACCAGTGCCAGACATATAGTGAAATATTGACTATAATCACTGTCTGTGGGATCAAGGTGACTAACTAGAACCATCAAATGTTCCTAGTGTATGACCATGCTGTGATGAAACAGAAATACCCTAGTGATATTATTACAGGTGTTCTGGGATGAAACAGAAATACCCTAGGGCTATTATTACAGGTGTTCTGGGATGAAACAGAAATACCCTAGGGCTATTATTACAGGTGTTCTGGGATGAAACAGAAATACCCTAGAGATATTATTACAGGTATTCTGTGATAAAACAGAAATACCCTAGGGCTATTATTACAGGTGTTCTGGGATGAAACAGAAATACCCTAGGGCTATTATTACAGGTGTTCTAGCAGTGCCAGTGATACAATGAAATATTGACTTTAATCACTGTCTGTGGTATGAAGGTGACTAACTGGAACCATCAACTGTGCCTAGTATATGACCAGTGCCAGAGATATGGTGAAATATTGACTATAATCTCTGCCTGTGGTATCAAGGTTACTAACTAGAACCATCAACTGTTCCTAGTATATAACCATTGCCAGAGATACAGTGAAATATTGGCTATAATCACTGTCTGTGGTATGAAGGTGACTAACTGGAACCATCAACTGTTCCTGGTATATGACCAGTGCCAGAGATATGGTGAAATATTGACTATAATCACTGCCTGTGGTATCAAGGTGACTAACTGGAACCATCAACTGTTCCTAGTATATGACCATTGCCAGAGATACAGTGAAATATTAACTATAATCACTGTCTGTGGTATCAAGGTGACTAACTAGAACCATCAACTGTTCCTAGTGTATGACCATGCTGTGATGAAACAGAAATACCCTAGTGATATTATTACAGGTATTCTGTGATGAAACAGAAATACCCTAGGGCTATTATTACAGGTGTTCTGGGATGAAACAGAAATACCCTAGTGATATTATTACAGGTGTTCTGTGATGAAACAGAAATACCCTAGTGCTATTATTACAGGTGTTCTAGCAGTGCCAGTGATACAATGAAATATTGACTTTAATCACTGTCTGTGGTATCAAGGTGACTAACTGGAACCATCAACTGTTCCTAGTTTATGACCAGTGCCAGAGATACAGTGACATATTGACTATAATCACTGCCTGTGGTATCAAGGTGACTAACTGGACCCATCAACTGTTCCTAGTATATGACCAATGCCAGAGATACAGTGACATATTGACTATAATCACTGCCTGTGGTATCAAGGAGACTAACTGGAACCATCAACTGGTCCTAGTATATGACCAGTGCCAGAGATACAGTGACATATTGACTATAATCACTGTCTGTGGTATCAAGGTCACTAACTGGAACCATCAACTGTTCCTAGTATATGAACAGTGCCAGAGATAAAGATTGTATCATATCTAATGTCTATATATACACCAAGATAAAATAGACTATATAACTTGTCAGTGTAGTTCAAAAAGCCGGTCAGATGTACACCTAAACCAAGATATAGGGTGGGTGGGCACAGGTCAACATCTACACTGATGCCTAATTTTGACCAGTAACAAGGTCTACAGTTCATAGGTCAAAAAATATCAAATTTATTCAATCATTAGTTTCATAAGCCTAGGTCACCTATACCCCACTAAACAGTATAGTTTACATGGAAATATTGCTTTTGGGAACCAGAGCACTAGGAAACAATTTTGATTTATTATTAGCACTCATGGGTCCATCGTAAAAATTGTGAATAAACTTATATCTCTGGGCCTTGACTTCTATTCCCAATGGCAGAGACTACTTTCATAACTCTGTAACGAGAAAAATTACAGAAATCTGTTATTTCTCTTTACTGAAGTATGTTTGAATGGTTTCTAGTGTATTTTACTGCAATGATAGGCGACATATCCATCATTCTTTGTATACATATTATACTAGTTTCCACATCTCAGCAATGAAAAGTAAACACTCGTGTACGTTACAACTGAGGTGACTGTGTGTGCCTGTGTGTGACTGTGTGTGCCTGTGAAACCCTTCAGGCTGGTTGTAGAGTAGTACTTCACTTTTTCCAACACAAAACAAATTAGATATCATATGGCAGGGTATTTCTAATGAGATGTTCATTAACATGATCACCAAAACATGTAGAAATGACATGCATCAAAAATTGAACAATTCAATTCATAGACATTATCAAAATAAAGAAGATGTAGTTTTGAAGATGCATGTAGTGTAATACATGTACATATATTATATCATACATCCAATCATTGAGAAAGTGATTTATTGAACAAATTGTTCCTCCTTATATTCACTCAATATACTGTGATAAAGTCAGTTGATTTGCCATAGACATGTTTACCTACATTTAAGTCTGTGATATTAAAAAGAGAAGTTTTACATGGGTGAAACTGGTTTTAACACCTCCACTGTAGATTTATGTTTTCAATTGGCAAGTCATGCTTATGATAGAATGGTTGGACAATATATATATAACAAAACCAGGGGCAAAATCCATGATGTTGGTTGTAAAGTATTTTGAGTGACATATCACATGATGTGGTAATATGTATAGGCAGGGACTTCGGTAAAATGATCATATAAAACCCTGTTGATAATTGAAGACAACATGCAAATCAGTAAATATTTTTGAACTTTTACCATTTGAAAATGATCTTTTTTCTTCTATTAATCAGTAAATGCAGTGTTTGACAGACATGGTATCTGAAAACATACTTTCTCAACATGTCTAAATTGTGAAACTTTAATCTGTGTAAATACTATCACTGTAAAATCATAAATTTTCCTGGGACATTAAATTTCGTTTATTTCGTGGATAACAAGAATCAACGAATAAATTAAATCCCCACGAAAACATGAATTTGGTATGATATAGATAGGGGAAAATCAGAAATCAGCAAAATATAATGTCTTTGAAACAGGCTAGTATATGAAAACAACGAAATTTTAACCCTACGAAAATAAATGATTCTACAGTATCTAATTTCGAGTCAAAGTTGCGAAAATTAAAACTCACAAGTAAACCACTAAATCAAGTAGTCGTACTTATCGTCTGTACTGACTGTAGTAGAGTAACAACAAGTTTACCACTAAATCAAGTAGTCATACTTATCGTCTGTACTGGCTGTAGTAGAGTAACAACAAGTTTACCTCTAAATCAAGTAGTCATACTTATCGTCTGTACTGACTGTAGTAGAGTAACAACAAGTTTACCACTAAATCAAGTAGTCGTACTTATCGTCTGTACTGACTGGGGGACAGTAACAACAAGTTTACCACTCAATCAAGTAGTCGTACTTATAGTCTGTACTGACTGTAGTACAGTAACAGCACGTTTACCACTAAATCAAGTACTCGTACTTATCGTCTGTACTGTCTGTAGTACAGTAACAACACGTTTACCACTAAATCAAGTACTCGTACTTATCGTCTGTACTGACTTTAGTACAGTAACAACAAGTTTACAACTAAATCACGTAGTCATACTTATCGTCTGTAATGACCGTAGTACAGTAACAACAAGTTTACCACTAAATCAAGTAGGTGTACTTACAACACGTTTACCACTAAATCAAGTACTCGTACTTATCGTCTGTACTGACTGTAGTACAGTAACAACAAGTTTACCACTAAATCAAGTAGTTGTACTTACAACACGTTTACCACTAAATCAAGTAGTCGTACTTATCGTCTGTACTGTCTGTAGTACAGTAACAACAAGTTCACCACTAAATCAAGTAGTCGTACTTATCGTCTGTACTGACTGTAGTACAGTAACAACAAGTTTACAATTAAATCAAGTAGTCATACTTTTCGTCTGTACTGACTGTAGTACAGTAACAACAAGTTTACCACTAAATCAAGTAGTCGTTCTATAGCAGTGGCTCAGCACTGTTGTAGGAGTCATATGTTTGAAAATTTCACAATGTGAATGTTTTCATGTGGAAAAATACAGCTAGCCAATGGGGAATACATTAGCTAGCTAATAGTTTCTTCCTCCACTCTTAAACCAATTTCATCACATAAACCAAATATGAAGATGGGAAAGTATTTTTTATAGATGCACATGTATTCATATAGGTGCATGTGTATAAATATGTATATTCCAATATATTTGTTTATCACAACACCATATGCACGTCTTTTCTAAGTTGTAATAGATGAAAGCCTGAAACCTAAACATCATCATTTATATATCTTTACAGCATGTATTGGATTACATGACCTACATTGGGTTCCACCAGAAGATGTACACACTGGCAACAACCTACCCACGACAGTGCTTGTCAGACCAAAGGGAAGTAACTCTTGTTGACATGGGATTCAAGACAAGGACAACACTAAATGTTGAGGAGAAAGACTTGGACTCAGAATGATTTAGATTTTATGTTTCAGATGTCTGCCAGATCATGATAGTGCTAGCTGTATGAGTGAAAGTCTACTGTGTCTTGTATAAAATGTAGGATCACGATGATGCTAGCTGTACAAGTTGGGTCCATTTGTGTCTTAATGTATCAGATGCCTGTCCATTATGGTAGTGCTAGAATTACAAGTCCCAATTTCTGATCCTCCTCCTGCCTCCAAGTCGTATCAGTCATAAATGGATAATCGATTTGGGAAATTACTCCTCTTCAGCAGATATACTTTCGACTGTTATCACGCCTGTTAGTAGGTTCCATCGCTAGGTTAGACCTGAGTGACACTACAAAATCTGGCACACTATCACTGATCTAAATGCAAAATTTAACAGAGATCACTGAGGTCATGGTTAAAGGTAAACATCTCAAAAATGTCCTGAAACATGCTATACTCATCCAGGTAAACAAGTATGCGAGGTAACATGACCCGATCTGCAGTACTTTGTCCATAACTGACCTAAACTCTAAACTTGTACTGGTATATGATGTACAGACATTATAGTAACACTTTATTCCCCCAATAGCTGTGATGCAGGGCATGAAAATAGTATATTGGTCGAAAGTGGTCCAGACAGGGGCTTCCACCTCTGATTCCAAAATGAACATAATGGTCAAACCATATAAATGGTATTTTTAATAATGTTTTTATTGCTCAGCCTATAGGACAGACCATTATTTTTGTGCTTATTGACAGTCCATTTGGATTATTTTGATTCTCATTCTTAAGGATTTCATTTTCACAAAATCCCTCACCCATCAATTGTTTTGGAAAAGATGTATATTACAACCCTATTCTTCATAACTGAAATAGATGTATATCATTAACACTATTCATTGCTAAAACAGATGTATATATCAATTTTCATTATAACTGAAATACATGTACTGTAAACGTGGAATATTACGTGCGGGGGAAATTTACGCTTATTACGTGGAGTTGGGTCGTCCGCGTAAATTTCTCCCGTGCGTATGGTTTTGTCGATAGTGTAAAGAACGACAACTCTGATAGATATTGGTATGTGTGTGTGTGTGATGTCCTCCTGTAATATTGCTTTGTTAACGTATTACTAATCAACGTACATTGTCTTGTAATGGTATAAAATAAAAACAATAACAACTGAAATAAACTACTTGATAAATTTAAGGTTTTAATGAACAACAAATTTGAAAATCTATATAAAGGCACAGAGAAAGTCATGAATAAACCCGGGTGCATCGAGATCCGGTAAACATCACTCACACACGTGTCTACGGGACACAAACAGCCAGTGATCGTGTGCAACGATCCCTACAGAGGTAAATGCCCCTGTCATCATGGTAGCGACATTAACTGCGCTCGATGAGTTACGATAACTTACGATTAGTGTATGGTTTTATCATTGTTATTTGGAAAATGTGTTTGTTTTGACTAAATAGCACTCACCTGTTTGATCCGAGGTGATTACAAGATCAGCTGGTGTAAGACACACATACACATGAATACAGTTCACCTTCAATTTCATCTATCCAACGACCAGTCGGGAGGCATATGTAAGATGTACTCAGTAGCTACTAGTATTTTTACCTGTACACATTTTGTAAAGTAATGAAGACAACTCTGCAGAGTAAACGTCTGTCTACCGCGACCGCGTAATTTACCCCCGTGCGTATAGTTTTGACCTTCAAATCGCGTAATTTTCACCCAGCGTAAATAACCACATTTACAGTATATTATTAACACTATTCATTGCTAAAACAGATGTATAGATCAATTTTCATTATAACTGAAAAACATGTATATTATTAGCTCACCGGGTCCAAAGGGCCAAGGTGAGCTTATGGCATACCGTGGCGTCCGTCGTTCGTCGTCTGTCGTCCGTCCGTCATCTGTCATCCGTTCGTCAACAATTTCTTTAAACGACTTCTTCTTCTTAACCACTTATTGGAATTTAACTAAATTTGACTGGAAGCATCCCTAGGTGGTGGGGATTCAAAATTGTACAAATGATGGGGCTGACCCCCCAGGGGGCTGAGGGGCGGGGCAATAAGGGGGCAATTTGGCTATATTGCTTTAAGCGACATCTTCTCTGGAACTAAGAGATAGATATCAACCATATTAAACTGGAAGCATCCCTAGGTGGTGGGGATTCAAAATTGTACAAATGGTTGGGCTGACCCCCC